ATGTAAATAAATGGCACTGCCATCCTCCAGTTGCCGAGGTAAAAAAATCATCAAATCTTATTTTCCCCTTGCCACCAGCAAGATGGAATGAACTACCTTAACGGTTCCCTGAACATAACCCTGCTTCTATCTTTGCCCCTTATGATCCATTCTTCTTCACACAGCATCCAAACAGACTTTCTTTAAACATGTAAATAATTAGATAATATCCTTCTCTTGTTTCATATTCTTCAATAGCACATCACTGCAAATAAAAGCTCTTTATCATGGCCATCAAGATTCTCCATAAGCTAGCCCCTGCCTAACTTTCTGTATTTTTTCTCTCTGCATGAGTTTCCACCTTACAGATCTTCAAAGGTCTTCAAAACTCTTTCTCGACTTTCCAACCAAAATTAGCTCCTTCCCGCCCTAAGTTGTTCTCTATCAATTATCTCATTTCATTTTCTCACAGCACTTATTAATAGAAATAATCTTGTATATACATTTATTTACCCATTTATCTGTCACTAAAAATAAGTTCCTTATGAATAAAACTATTTTGATCTTATTCACTTATATTGATGCCTAAAAAAGAGTAAGCACTCAGTAAATATTTTCTGAATCAATGGTTAAAAGAAATAGCAGCACATGTTCCACTCCAAAGATGAGATTAATGTTCCAACCTGTCAGACCCAAGTGCTTAAATTAGCAGAACTATTTTTCGGTATATCTGGTCGATCCAGAGTGTACTGAGTTTAAAACAGTAATTATCTGAGAGATACCTCCTAACATAGCATCCTGACCCTACTGCCATCACCACCATCATTCTGCATCAGAAGTAAACATTTGTTACAGACTAAGTGTTTCCTGATGCCCAGAGACAGGCAGCAGCTGTATGAATGATAAAAAGAGGTACAGAGGAAGCCCTGGGGATACCCTGGGTTCTCAAGTGCAACATCAGCCATCAAAGACTTCAAAAATGAGTAACACCACTGAACTGGCCATGCAGAGAAGGCAGTGCCTTGCCTTGGCTTGAACCTTTGGCCCTAAGAATTTCAGGAGGCATTAAAGAAAATTAATTATGAGACACTAAATACTTCTAAGTTCCTCGAATTTCATTTTGCTCTTCTGAGACTCTGAAGAAGACTTTTTTTATGTTGGCAAGTCAAAGTAGTAGTGATTACTATACAACCATGACTATTATCTTGAGTTTTGAGATAAGAACTGGAGATAACAAAAGTGACAAACCAATAAGAAGTAATGGTCCTATTTCAAACATCTTTGTCCAAAGGATGGCATAAACTAAAATTCAAATGTGACATCATGGCATACAGCAAAGAAGCTACAAAATCCAGTATAGGCAAGTTTCAGGAATGTAAATTTAATCATGCAATTATGGAGATCCAAAATTAGAGTAAAACCAAATGGTTTAACTACATGCTGTTACATTGGAATGTTATTTCTACTATTGTTCATCACCAGGGAACAATGGTACTCTGGGATAAGAAAACAGAAAAAAACAGTTAATGCTAATAAGAAAGGCATGATATCCCAGACCTTCTTGCACTGATTTCTTCTCGTATAAATTTTCATTAATTCAATATTTAATGAAAAATTCTGTTAGGCACAAAAGAAAATAAATTCCTACAAAAACCCCTCAGAGAATTTACAATCTAGAGGATAGAAAAGGAAGATATGCAGAAGCTGTTAAAAAAAAACGGGGAGAAGGGGATTCTCAATCAACTTTTAGAGATGGATAGGCAACATTTGGACAAAGATTCCAGGACTCTTTCCTGAAGACAGATTAGTAACCTTGAAGGATGAATGAAATATTGTTAGCAGACATAATGTAGACAGAACAGCCTCAGTAAAAGGGTGCAAGGAGAAAAAGGTGTGCTTGAAGAACAATAGTAGTTTAGGCTGGGGCCCAGGACATGTGGTGCAAGGGTGGGAAGGACCCAGACTGACTCAGGGACATCACTTTTATCCCCTGCTCCCCACCCACATTACCTAAGACCCTATTCTCTATACATCTGGTAGGTTCTAGGTCATACTTACTAAATACATATGAGGATAAATCCAGATATTAAAAAATTAAATCTATTCAATTAACTTTGATGATAATGATGCTCTGGGGTATTCCTGGATTTTCCTGATTATGTGGGTTCCAGAAGAACTTTGTCCATCCTTGGTTAAGGACAGGTACTTATATTATCTCTCTAATGTATGGGAACATTTAAAGAAAGTTCACATGACCAAGAACAAGTAGATGGCAAGTTTGTATTTGTACATGTGCAAATTTGGAAAGTTGCTGGATCTACTACCTTGCAAATAAGAATAACAAGGAAGAGGAAGACAAGAACAATGACTGATCTATAAATCAATTCTAAGTACTATAATCTCAAAATGAAGAGCTAATACCCTCCCCCCACCACCCATGCCAGGGATTGAATCTAGAAGCGCTTAACCATTGAGCCACATCGCCAGGCCTTTTTATGTTTTATTTTCAGACAGTCTCACTTAGTTGCTTAGGGCCTCCCTAAGTTGCTGAGGACCTCAGTAAGTTGCTGAGGCTTTCTTTAAACTCATTATCCTCTGGCCTCAGCCTCCCAAGTCACTGAGATTATAGAAGTGCACCACCACACCCAGCTAAAGAGCTAATATTCTTACAGAACTTCCAAAAAGCTCTCAGTACCTATAAATAAACTTGTTTTATATTTCCATTTTATTTATTTACTTATTCTCACAATACTTGGGATTGAACCCAGTGGCCCTCTACTACTGAATCTCGCCCTTTTTTATTTCATTTTGAAATAGGGTCTCACTCAGTTGCTAAAACTGACCTCAAACTTATGATACTACTGCTTCAGCCTCCTGAGTCACCAGGATTATAGGTGTGTACCACCATGTCCAACTATAATTTTATTTTTAGAAATATACTCACTGCTTAGCTATTAACTTACTGTGCAACTGCACACAATAAACTCAACCTTCCTGAGACTCTCAACAGGGAGGAGGGTGAAGAGAAACTGATAGCCAGAGATGAGCCAGGCCTGAGGAGGTGGCCACACCCATGAACTAAGAGATGCTCTTCTGGCGTCAAATGTCCCGACCTTCTCAGAGCCTCACTATGCACCTACATCTGGTGTACAGGGATGCTGCTATACACAACTTTTCCATCTTTTGGCTGGATACTATCTAAAGCATCTGAAACTTCTAAAATGTCCTCTAGATCTATTTTATGATCTTGTTTTTAGATGTAAGCACAAAGCCTTGAAAGAAGCATCTTAAGTGAATCTAGTACTAGGCAGATTTCAAAAGCTGTTTTAAAAGCATCAGCCATTAACATAACAATTAGCAAACTTAAGAGACTAGAACATAGAAATCAAACATTTAAAGAACTCAGTGTTTGTCAAATCATAGAACATGTATGTATGTCCATGTGTGTACAAACCCATCCACCCTCCCCACATACATACATACACACACACATACATACAAACACACATGATTAGTCATCCTAAGTCCATTACAAATCATATATAAATATACATACTCATACGTACACACACACACTCATGCACAGATTCACAGAAACTAAGGATTACTATAAGGACAAAGGACACATATTATGAGACTTAATCAAAAAGCTAAAGTCCCTACTATAAATGCAGTGGGTAACTAAAGCTACATGCTTCAAATTCACAAGTTAGTGTGAATTTCATCCTTATATTGTTATCAAGGACACATGTCTAATGTCATGTTAACCTTCTGAGTCCTACATATAGTGTTTAAAGTTTCACAAAACATGGCCATATTTCTCAGAGCTCTAATATTCTTTCTTGGCATAAAATTCCTGGTTCTCTTATCAATTATGTGTGTATGTATGTATAAATATATATATATACACACACACATATGTATATAATATTGATATATACACACACACTCAAGCAAACCTATACATTCAAACTAATAAACATATATTCACAGAATGTAAAACCTTTGCATAGTATGGACAGAGATCAGGAGAGGTAAGTCATTTCATTTACAAACAATTATGTTTTGAGACCACTAAGGACACTTAAGTCTTACCACTACAGACAAAATATCTGTTAAAAAAAAAAAGGTTTGTTTTGAGAGTTTATTACACATTTTGTTTTACTTTCTTTCTTTCTGTTCTAGTCCACCTCTGCCAACAATAGTAATTAGATGACATCTAGAATTCCTTTCGGCTCTCAAGACTTTTGATCTCCAAATTAAAGATCTATGATGATTAATACACTATCTTTTCACCATGATCTAAAAGCAATCAAATCAGTCTTAAAACAAGATGTTTTTGCACAAATGAAGCAGAAAAAAAAAACAGTTGGGGATCTTAATGCACTAAATGTGAATGATTAGCCTGCAATTTAATGCTGATGATAATTTTTAAGAAGAAAGGCAAAGTAAGAAGCTTATTAGAATGTATAAGGATAAATGTCGTATGAGAAGCTAGAGGTAAATGTAAACCAGAATAGAGTTCTGTCTGCCTGATGAGCCATGTGTTGATCTTGCCTTACAGCCACCAATCACAGCTTCTGTTAGCCCTGAGCAATCTTCAAACAAACTTAATGAAACAGTTGTACATGCGAGAAATGTAAGCCCAGATCTGAGTAGGTAATACTAATTTTCTGACAGTGAGGGTGTGATGTTATTCCCTACACCACCTGGATACAACACAGAAACTTATAGCAAACATTTTCCCAAAGAGTGCAGTTATAACCATCCCACCAATGTGCAGATTGACAGTGTGGCTGAGTACAGCATTAGTAGAAATTTCCCCAAAAATTTTATCCCAGAGTTACTGAATATCAGAATTCCCTTAATAAAAAAGAAGAAATAAGTATCTTCAAGTCTCAATTCTTTAAAAATAAGCCATTCCACAGCTCCAAGAGTTTCGAAGTGAATACATCTCATCTGGTAGCCCCTCACCCCCAGCCTGCCAGAGTCTGCAAGTGAAACCTATGAGTCTGTCTTACCTGTAATCTGACTCTGTCCTTGTGGATTAAAAGGACTTGGTGCAGAGTTCAGGGAGGGCCGTGGGTTCTGAGGCGGGACACCTACTCTCATACTGGGATGAGGAATGCGCCCTAAATCACTGAGGCGGTCAGAGAACAAACTAGGTTTAGAGTCATCAAGCTTCTGTCTGTGCCCTGGAAACAGCAAATCATAAAATAAAAGCATATTAATTAGCTGAACAATTGACCATGCTAAATAGATATGTGAACATACATATGGGGTGGTTTAAGCCAAGGAATTATCAATATAGATATTTATAATGATGTGTCTATATAATGTCTATATAATGCCTTCCTTTTCAAATTGCTTTTTAAGCATTATCTGCTGGCAAGCATTTCTAGTTCTGTTCTATAAATGGAGAGCTGAACATTCCAGAGGGCAACTTAAGAGTTGAGAGCAAGAGGAGCTCTGTGGACACCTCCTCTGGCCTCTCAGTGAAAAGATGGAAAAAGTAGAGTTTCTCCGTTTCATGATGAAGGAAACTCATTTGAAAACTCAATAGTCTATGCATGTTAGACATGCTATCTCAAAGTTTGGGCAGAAGCAGAAGCAAACGTAGTTTTCAAAGAGAAATATTCCTGAAGACCATATTGACTTTTTTTCTTTTCTGTGTTACAACTACCCCTTGCACTGAAACCCTGTTCTGAAAAATTAAAACTCACACCTAGAGTCCCTCGAAAATAAAAAAATAAAAAGAAAGAAAAAATGTAAGCAATGAAATAAAATTATCAAGAAAAATCTAGATATTTCGTGATATGCCAAAGCCCAAAAGCATATAATAAACTCTGTTAAATCACAGAGAAATTTTTTTTTAAAATTTTAAATCTACTGCTGTGGTTTTATAAAAGAAGCTGAAAATACTCTTTAGCTAAACATGTGAATGTGACAATCATGTTTTTTAAATAACTTTTTCTCTTCTAGGTTACTCAAGTTTAAAACCTAAGGAAATTCTGAAAATTGAAGAAATCTGCAAATTAAAATATACTCAAGATAATAAGATTTCTTAAAAATCACCAAATAATTCTTAAAGGAGTATATCAGAGACTAGACCCAAATATAATAGAAAAGCATCAGAATCTGGGTGTAACCTAGTGTAATGTACCTGCAGAGTGGTTCTGCAGTGAGTTCAGGGTTAACACACACACACACACACACACACACACACACACACAAACACACACACACACACACACACACACTGTGGGGGTCCCCCTTCTTTACGTTCTGAACCATGAGGATCTAATATGCTGCCCCATCATTTTCCTAAAAATGTTTTGGTAACTGAAGTTGATTCAAGGAATAACTGCTGAGATGATGACTGCATTAAGAATTTGCACTTTGAAGAAAAACTAAGGAAATTAGGATTATTATTCTAAAGGAAAAGTCTTGAAGGAGTACTGTCAAAACTACTTGAAGCAAGGGAGTTCTTCACTATTTCACTGCTCTGTGGAGAGTGCAAATATCTCATCTCCCACTTAACACAGGACAAGAGGAATCTATCAGGATAGGGTTAAGTTGAACATTAGAATTTCCCAACTATAAGCTGTCTTCATAAGAAAAATTCCTTACTTTATTTGCCCCAAAATGTATTTTCCTGTCTCCTTTTTCATTGCCTACCCAGCCCAAAGAAAACAGACAGGAAGCCAAGGCTCAGTAATATGAGTGTAGCTGTCTCCCCAGCCAAACATGTTTCAACTAGGCCCATTAACTGAAATGCACCCACCACCCTATTTCCTGCCAGTGCAAGTCTAGGGCATCTGCTATAACAGAGGGACTAGATCTCAAAAAAAAAAAGACTAAGAAAAACTAGGAGGATGATGAACTGTTTGCTAATAGTTGTTTTCCCCCTTATTTATGGGTTTTTTTTCCCTCCAGATTACAAATAGATTTTAGACCCTAAAGGACTTTTAAAGGGGATCCAAAATAATTCGTAGACCCCTGCTAGTAAAGTGTTTACAGACAAAGTGTTTACAGATGAAGTAGTCGGCAGAGGTAGGTCAACTAGCCAATGGTCTTCAACTATTGACTAGCTCAGTTTGGAAAGAACACAATCCTGTCCAAGTTGACTGAGCTTTCCACTCATCATGAGGTACAACCAATGCTGGAATGCTACCTTCCTGTCCCAGTTGCTATGGAAGACTAAAAATTATCTAGATCATACAGTAAGACACCTGAAACTAAGCCCAATGAGTGAGGCATTAAGGCTGGTTTTCAACATAAGCAAAGAGAGTAGCAAGGATTCAATAACAAAGTTAATAACTCATCCATTACCCTAAACATATTGTTGTAGCTTAACTCACCAAACTTCTATCAGTACATCTTGCTGGGTCTAACTATTTTCAGTTAGTGATTTACATAGTACTCATCACAAATCCACAGAGTCTGTGTCTTACACACACACACACACACACACACACACACACACACACACACACAATTAGTGTGTACTAATTCAGCTGTAAATATTAACAACAAAAGTTGTGGAATTGTCTGTGGAAGCTATTTTTTAATAGGCCATATTTTTGGAATGGCAGATTCCCTGAAGACTAAAGGCTAGGCTACATGATCTTGCATGGTTCCTTTATACACTGAAACTTTATGTGGGGCATGGGTCATAAGAAAATTTAATAAACCTTGCCTCTGCTTTCTACATACTGTTCATTAGGTTTTCATGGAGACTACATGAGATGTGAGCTCAGTGATTGGATGTGGGAGTACATTTTTTTTCTTAGCCCAGTGCTTTAGGAAGTAATGAGAGGTTATAGATAAGAATAAAGGACTTGGAATAGTACTAGTGTGAAAAATTAAGAGCAGAAGAAATTTTAAAATCTCTCAGAGATTTTCTTTTACAAATTATCTTCAAAGAGAGCTACCAAGCATCTATATGGGGAGATATATATATGCACATATATATACACACACACATATATATAAAACATATTCAGTTTCCCCTGTAGATATTTTCCCTTCGTAGCAACCACCAAAACCACAAAAAAATTCTTACAGTACAATGAAAAGAAAAAAGCCAAACAGGTTCTTCGTCTTTAACCATTCTACCACCAAACTACATCACACTATACTCAAATGACAGGCTGAAAGAAGATGTACTTAAACCTTCAGCACCAAGCAAACCTTTCAGAAATTGAGAATTCAGGAGACAAAGAACACACTGACTTGGATCAAGGACAGAGTACTCTGCCATGCTGCAGGGAGGACTAAACCTCATCCAAAAGGCTGAAGAGGTGCTGAGGGCCATTACCAAGTAGGAATGACGCATCGAAATTTCCTTGCCAAGTGTACCCCATGCTGCTTAGAGGACATTCGATGGGACATTGCATGCATGCTTTAATAAGGTGACCTTGCTCAAGGACCAAGGCGGATCCGGGTTTAGAGCTGATCAGGTTTGAGGAAGTAACTGGCTCCTTGAGTTTAAGGCGTTGCCAGTTTAAGATAATGGGTTTTAGGGAAGTTAGAGGTTGAAGATTATTGCTGGGATTAGGGTGTTCCTGCTGCTTGTTCCTGTTGAGTTCTCATGAGATTAAAATGGGATTTGGAGATAGCCTCGTGGAGTAGGTGAATTGTGCGGGCAGACGGGAGAACGAGATTGTCCCTGGACCTGTGTGGAGGCGGTGTGAGAGCGGGAATAAAGAATTGCTGTTTGAACCTACGAAGCTGTGTGGTGGCTCGTGATTCTGGTGCCAAGCCGAGACCTTGGCAAAGAGGAGCTCTTCCAAGCAAGAAGACAATATAAAGTATAGAAGACTCTTTTGTGTTATACTTGAACTCTTTATGTAAAAGCTCAGTAGTCCTGGATTCTCTTCACCAGCTGAACTTTTTCCCTAAAACAGTGGTCCCTTCCAGCCTGTGGATAATGAAATCCCCTAAAGGGTTTTTGGAAAAAGTGGCTGTTCAGACCCCATATCAGATTAATACAGAATTTCTGGGGTGGGTCATGAGGAAAAGTTGTTTTTTAAAAGCTCACCACATGATAAAATATATGTCCAGGGATGGGAATTACTGCACAAGATGTAAGTTTTAGTCCCATCACAAATGCCTCTGCCCTGACTTGCAGGTTTGTGTGTCCTACTGCCTACTTGACAGTTCCTCTTGAAATATCTAGAAGGTATTGTTAAATGCTTCATACTCAAAATAGAATTCTTGATTCTCTTTCCAGAAAAACCTTATTCCTTCTTAACAGTCCCCCATATCAATGAATGGCACTAGCCACTCAGTTGCTTTAAGCCAAAAACCTAGACATTTTCCTTGATTTCTCTTTATTCCCCACTCCCCACATTCAACCTGTTACCAAGTCCTGTCTTCTCCATCTCAATACTACATCTTAAATCTATTCTATTCTCTGCTTTTCTATTGGCACAATCCCAGTCCAAATCCCTATCATTTCCCTCTGGGCATCTGACTTTGTCTCCTTTATAGTTTTCCATCCCAGGACCTTCCTACATATCTGAAATGCTCTCCCCTTGTTACTTTGTATGACCCATTCTCATCTTTTTCATCCCTTATAGCGAGGATGAATACCACTTCAAGATACCATGTCTGGCCTGGCGCAGTGCGCCGGCCTGTAATCCCAGTGGCTCAGAAGGCTCAGCAATGATAAGGCATTAAGCAACTCAGTGAAATCCTGTCTCTAATAAAATACAAAAAAGGGCTGGGACTATGGCTCAGTGATTGAGTGTCCCATGTTTGCCTACCATAACCAAAGTGGGTTCCCACCTTTTCAAGCATACCCTCTCTTTATTTCCTTCCTAGCAGTTATCATAATCTGTAATTACTTGTGTTTTTAATTATCTCTCCTGAAAGAGAAATTTCATGGAAACTGAAAGTTCCATGAGATTGAGTGTTTTGTCTTGTATATAGCTGTATTCACAAAATCGAATTCAGTGTCTGCCATACAGTAGGTTCTCAATAAATGTTTATGCAATAAATGAATGAATATTCCCCTCTTTTAGATAAATGCCTTGACTAAAAGAAAACTTTCTGGCCCAGTATATCCTATTACAATACTATCTTTCCCAAAATACTCTTCTCTTTTTGTCTGGTAATCTAATGAAGTCAGAGAGCAAAATCTTTCTTTAGAGACAAGCCCCTACTGGTGCTTCCTATGAAACTACACTGA